TTACAAGCCATGTTCTGTCCCCACCCCTGTCCCATGTTATACAGGCCTCTCTGTCGCTTGGTGGGAGTTGTTGACATGCAATAGAAAAGCCAGGAAATCGCACTCCGTCACTCACAGACACACAGGGACATGTTCACACAGCAGCATGCATGCTGGGACAGACACTTGCCCTGCAGGCTGCTGGAACTGAGGACACTGTGGTGATAGGAGGCAGGCCTTCCCTTTGGGACAGAGACCTGCCCACAGGGGGACGTGCAGACATGGGGATGCAGATAGCAACAGGCTCATGGACACATGATTCCCCCCTTCCCCTGAGCTGACCTTTCTGCCCCTGGGTGGGGTGGGGGTAGCAGGGGCAGGTCTTGGACTGTGACCCTGTGCCCCCTAGCTGAACTCAGAACTGAAGGAGAACCTGAAGGACACCATGACCAAACGGTATCATCAGCCTGGCCATGAGGGGGTGACCAGTGCCGTGGACAAGCTGCAGCAGGAGGTGGGCCCCCTGGGGGAATGAGCCAGTGGAGCAGGCCCCCCAGACCCTGGCAGGGGTGATGGGTGCATGTGCATCTGGGGACCGCCTCCGTGGGGGTTCAGCCCATCCTGTGCCCCCACTCTAGTTCCACTGCTGTGGCAGCAACAACTCCAGGGACTGGCAAGACAGTGAGTGGGTCCGCTCTGGTGAGGCGGGTCGCCGCCTGGTCCCTGACAGCTGCTGCAAGACAGTGGTGGAGGGCTGTGGCCATCGGGACCACGCCTCCAACATCTATAAGGTGGAGGTAAGTCTGCTAGTGGCCCTGGGCCCTGGGCCAACACTCTGGGCCAGCCCATGCTGAGCACCCTGCCCCACCCCCAGGGCGGCTGCATCACCAAGCTGGAGACCTTCATCCAGGACCACCTGCGGGTCATCGGGGCTGTGGGCATTGGCATTGCCTGTGTGCAGGTGCGTGCGGCCAAGGACAGGGGTCTGTATGGGGTGCCTGCCTGCCTGTGGGCATCGGCATGGCCTGTGTGCTCTGCCTGGGGGTGGAGGCCCCTGCTCAGCCCCCACCTGTGTACTGACTGCCCACTCTCCAGGTCTTCGGGATGATCTTCACCTGCTGTTTGTACAAGAGTTTGAAGCTGGAGCACTACTGAGGCCTTGCCCCACTCTGGACTCATGAGCGGATACTACTGACACCCCCCATTCAGCCCTTCCACATTAAGCAGCGCTGCCTGGGGACCACCCCTTTTATAGCTTCAAGTGCCTTTTGCTGCACACCAAAGCCCTGGGCTGGGGAAGGGCCCCCCTGCTCTGCCTCTAGAAGAAAAGCCACCCCTGCCCCAAGGCTGCCCCCTCTCAGGGGCTGTGGGTGATTGTGGCCATTTCCTGGCTGCGGCTAAGGCTGGCCTGGCGGGGATATTGCCAGGGGCATGTGCCCAATGGCTCAGCGTTATTCTACCCAACCCCACGCCCAGTGAGGCCTCCCCACTGACCCTTGACACCTCCCGCTAGGATGTCCTATGCAGCAGCAGGGCTGTCACAGCCTTGTCTCCCACCCCAGCACCGCACCTACCATGGTGCTCAGTAAAAGTTTCTAGAAACGACTGCCACTCTTCCACTTGTGTGTTACTCAGGTTTGGGATCCGGCAGGGTGGTCAACAACACACCCATCCACACACACCTCCGCACTCCGCATGGCTGCTCCTGTGGTTGGTGCAGGGGGGAGCAGCCCTGTCAGGGTGGCCTGGACTTGCCAGATTCCCGGAGTATCTTCTGCACCATGAATGGGGGCCAGGGTGGAGCAGGGACTGCTGCCAGTCACAGCCACAGGGAAAGGTGGGGGTGAAGGCAGCACCCCAACGGAACCAGGGCTGGGGAAGGGGGCGGGGCCTAGTTCCTGAGTACCCAGCCAGCTTCGTCCCTAAGATTCTGTCTGGCCACCGGCCAGTTCTCTCCAGAAGATGTCCTCTGCACCGATAGGCCGCCATTCAGGAGCCCTCCTCAACTGGATCTTAATTTGCTGAGAGTCACCTGGCCTCCCAGTGGATGCTATGGGGACCCTCTCAAAGTCCTGGCTCAGGACAACGTAGGGCAGGAGACAGCGAGAGTCCCAGGCAGCCACTTGAGACTCTTCAGTGGTTCAGCAAAGAGCTTTATTGGGGGCTTCCTCCGAGACCTCCATCTTGGGCTTCCCCTGCCTGCTTGTGCTGTATAGGCAAGATGTGGCGTTGCGGGCAGTACGGTCACTTCTCCAGGGGCGCGTAGTTAAGCAGCTTTTCAATGAGGTCCACGTGGGCCAGCAGCATGCGGCGGCAGCAGTATCGCTTCAGGCCCAGAGCATCCAAGGCGTCCCTGGGGGTTGGGGGTGGAAGTGGAGCGTGAGGCTAGGTGGTCTCCCACCTCCAGCTCTACTGTTACAGCCAAGAGCTGGACCAACCAGGAATTTGCCCAGTCTCCATCCCACAGTGCCAAGATTGGTCACTTTACAAGCCATGTTCTGTCCCCACCCCTGTCCCATGCTGCTGGCTCTAGGGCTCCCAAACAGCATGACGGTTGGAGGGGCTTGGCCAAGAAAGGCATCCAAGACAGCAGGTCCCCCCCGCCCCCTCGCCAGTGTGGCTGCACTCTGCCCTCCCTCCAGTTTCCCACTGTGGTCTGACGCCCGGGGGGCCCCCAAAGCCATAACAGGCACCACTGCACTGGCCTTGCCTGGGTCCTGTCTCAGCTAGGGCACCCTGTGGACACCAGCCCTCCCAACGTGCACTCAGCCCCTAGCAGGAGGACCCCCTTCAGGGTAGCCACTCCCCCTGCCTAAGCCACCTATGCCAGGATCCCCAGAAAGACCCACAGCTGTGGCCACTCCACATGGAGGGCTGGAACTAGGGGCAGGGCCAGATGGGAGACCGTGCCCCCACCCGACCTCTGCCGAGCCTAAGGCCCTAGCCAGGCTGGACCACAGCCAAGTCCCAGCCCGAATCCCTTAAAGCTGGGCGCCTGCCCGACCCCAGCAGAGCACCAGCCAGGCCCCGGCCGAACCCACGTCACCCGACCCCGGCAAAGCCCGAGCGACCTGTAGGCCGGGCCCGCAGCCGACTCCAGCCGAACTGGAGTCCCCACCCCACCTAGGCCAAACTCGAGTCCCTTGCAGGCTGGGCGCCCGACCCCGGCCGACCCCGACCCCCTAGCAGGCCCGGCGCTACAGGCCCGCGGAACGGTTCCTGCCGGCGGCTAGCGGCCCGGCGCTCACCCCTCGGTGTACTCGGCTTGCAGCAGCCCCAGGTAGGCCTCCCACTTGTTGCCGACGATCTTGCCACAGGTGAAGCAGCGCACGGGGATGATCATGGCGGTGGCACTAAGAAGCCGGTACGGTACGACGTCGGACTACCAGTCGCAATAGCGACTCTGGCCCGCTTCGGCTGCCTTAATAATGCAGACCCCGCCTCGGGCGCGTCCACAGACGCGGGGGGACCGTCTCCGCCCCGCCCCCGGCGCCAGGCGGCGCCAGAGAGCAGTCGGCACCACACACCCCCATTCGAAGTCTTGGTACATTCCATGCGACGGCGGCCGAAAGTGGCCATAACGGTCGGCGGCGCGATTCGCGTTTCTCGTGTCCCGGTGAGTGACAGGCGCGCGGTGGGCGCGGAGGAGCCGGGAGCAGGCGGCGCGCGCAGGTACCGCCGCACCTCCCTTTCCCCGCCCTTCCTAGGAGTGCAGCCGAGGTCCCGCGGCTTGCGGAGCCCCGCGCCGGTCGGGACGGAGCAGAGATCGGGGCGCATGAGTTCGAGCCCTAGCGCGGAGCCCGATCAGAGTCGCTGCAACAAGTGGCGGGTCGAGCGGGACCGGGGTTTCGCGGGCCAAGAGAGGCTGAGGCGGGCGGATGCCTTCGGGGCGCCCCTGGTCTTCCCGGCGCTCCCCAGTTGGGTCTGGGGTATCTGAGTCCCACCCTCGGCCGACCCCTCGGGGGGGGCACCGCCCTGGCCGCCTCCCCCTTACTCTGGCCCCACTCGTAATGGTCCCTGTCCGGTCATTACCTGCAGCTCCCGGAGGCTGCAGGGCCAAGTTGGACCCCCGGTGGGCTTGCGGGGCCGCGATCGATCGGACGGCGGGCTGGCCCGGCGGCTCCTGCCCGCCCAGCGGCTCGTCGATCCGCCGGGGTCTGCGGGAGCCACCATCCCATCCCGGGAAGGCCACTGGAAGCGACGTCGGCAGGGGCCCAGCAGCTGGCCAGGCGGGCAGGGCAGCCCTGAGGGTGTCTGAGGATGGTCTGGGAAAAGGGGGAGTCTCCTGAGCGAACCTTCCAGACATAGGATCTTCCATGGCCAACCTGCGTGTGAGCGAGAGTTACCTGGAGGCTGCCCATGCAGGGTTGGGAAGGTGACTGGTGTGGCTTAGGGCCTGGAGGTGCTGGGGGTAGAGAGGATTAGAGCCTGGGAACCGGGCTGGCTGACCCCCCGCCCCAAAGAGGGCTCTGGCCCTCAGGGGTGCCGAGTGGAAAATAGGCCCTGCTGTCCCCAGTAAGTGGGTCCCAGACCGGCAGACCCTCACTCTAAACATTGGCCTTCAGTTCCCTAAGCACTTAGTTGGGTATCGGGGAGAGCCTGGGGTCCCCTGAGTCCTGTGGGGCTGGCCGGTGCTGCTGCCTCCCAGAGACTTCCCTTCCCCCGACCTGGGCTCTGGGCAGCCTCCCCAGGGACATTTGCTGCCCTGGCTGCGTCCAGATGCGGAGCCACGAGCTGTGTCCACTTCCCTTCCCGGCCGCCTCCCCTGCGGGCTGGCTGACTGCACATCCTGTCCCTGCCTGGAGGGCAAGAGAGGGGCCTTGAGTCACAGTGGCCTCGGGTCCCTCCAGAAGCGGCTGCAGGAGGCCAGGAGGTGAGTCGGGACCTGAGCAGGGTGGACCCTGGAGGGCAGGGGCCGGAGGTTTCCTGGGGGTGGGGCCAGTGGCCCCACCCTTGCGCCGCCGGGCCCCTTGTTTTCGTGGAGCGGTGTGAGCGGCCGCCCAGACCCCGCCGGGCCAAGCTAACATTCCTGGAATTCCAGGAGCTCGGAGTGAGGGAGTGCCGATTTGGGGGCGGGTGGCCTCCTCTTCCCTAGCTCCTCCCTCCAGCTCCCTGATTTCCAGAGGGGGAGTCAGCGTGTGTGTGGACGGTCCCTCACGAGTGCATATCCCCAACATGTGGGTCAGCCCCATGGCTGAGCAAAGGGTCCTGGGGCACTTGCTCCGCCCCCTGGGTTGAGCCGGAGCAGTGTAAGCATGGCCCCCCTGCCCGGGGTGGTCACGTTCCCTGCGTGGTGGTGGGAGGGGCCGTGGTGGGAGAGGGCTTGGGGCTTAGGTTGGGTGGTGGCCGTGCTGGTTTTCCAAGAAGAGCTCTTTGGGCCCATAAGGGGGGAGAGGAGGAATGAGCTGAGGCTGACCACAGTTCCGGTGTGAGCCAGGTCAAGTCAGGGCAAAGAACAGGGGAAGTTAGAGACTCCACTTCCAGGCCACCGACCCCTCCTCTTCTGCAGACAGGCTGTCTGTCCCCTGGAAGTGTGTAGGGTGGCCTGAGGCAGAGCACTGGGCTGGGATTCCTTCTCGGTTTCCCCAAAGGTGAAGCTGTTCACAGGACAAGACCCATGGAGGCCTTGGGTGTGACCCTTTGGTGGGAGGGGGATGGAGCCCTGCCCTGAGTGCCTGGGCCTGGTCTCTTCCCAGCCTTGCCCTGCCCCCTGCCCTCTGGCCTGGCTCCCAGCTGGGTCCGCCCACCGGCTTTGGACAGATGTGTTCTCCCAGGGTCACAAGCGCAGTTGCCTGTTCCCAGGGCCAGGAAATGGCTGCCAGGGTCGACTGTCACTCCTACCCCCTCCCATGCTGGATCACCAGGTGCGCCCCCTGGGGCTCCTGTCTCCAGGACATGTGGGTGGGCTCACAGGCTGCAAGAGCAGCTTGGCAGACGCATCCAGTGACCCTGTGGACAGGTCTGGCTGGTGGCATTTGGAAATGTCACTGTCATGGCCACCCGCAGCCTGCACCCTGGATTCTAAGGTCTGTGGGAAGGGCTGCCCTGTGATGGGGGTTCACACTACAGTACAGGTGGGGACCTAATTGTATCCCTTGTATTTACCCCTTGTGGCTGGGGGGGGGGCAGTACCTGAGGGGGCACAGGAAGGGGCCCTATGGGAGGGGGCTGCCCCCTGGAGCTCCGGGAGACAGTTTAGGTGGGTTTATAGGGCCCCCAGTCCCTGCTCCTTTGTGTGTGGGTGCCCCGCCCCCATGGTGGGGTCTGCAGGACAGATGAGGGGCCCTCCTGGGCAGCCACAGGAAGGCTTACACCACAGGCCTGTTTGTGTTGGCTGGGCGGGCCTGGCTCTCTCCTCAAAGCTTCAGAGCCTCGGCCTGGGGGGCCAGTTGGGGCAGCCCCTCCATTCTCCCTGAGCTGCTGGCCTAGCTGAGCTTGGAGAGGAGGGTTGAGTGCCCAGCTGCCGGGCGCCCAGACTGCTGGGCTGGGATAGAACATCCCCTGACCAGCGGCCTGTCTGCTGGGCCTGGTCCACACGGTGCTGAGCTGTGTTGTGGCCTGGAGCCGGCCCTCTGAGTTTGACTTTGGTCTGGTCAGGTAGGTGGTCAGGTTGGGCCATGCTCACAGATGTGTGTCCCCAGGTGGCAGTCTCTGGGCCCAGGAGGAAGTCAGAGCTGGTGCAGAAGGGGGCTGCAGGGGAGAGTGGGGTGAAGGGGGCCTGGGGCCCTCGGCTGGGACTGGGAGGGGCAGCCTCTGCTGAGGTCAGCCTGGCCCTCGTGTCAGTAGGGAGGTCTTTGTGCTGGCCCCCACTTGAGCCCTCCAAAACCCATAGGGTAGTGCGGGGCCATATGGGAGGGCAGAGCTGCCCTGTAGCACCAGCCCCCCATTCCTGGACACACTAGGTTGGGAGCAACAGGGACCTGAGCTCCCCAACCTGGCCTGTGGCCCTGCCCTCAACCATTCCTCTCTGCTCCTTCTCTGTGGGGCTTCCAGGGCTCCAGGTCCCTGCCTCTGTCTAGTGTTGGGGTGCTGGTGGAAGAAGATGGGGTGCTACCTAGGTTTTACTTTCTGGAATGTGACTCTGGGCCCCTCTGGGACACCCCAACCCATCCTGCTGCTCTGGGGCCTTCATCCCAGGATTCCTCTACAGGTGGGGATGGGGAGGGTTCTCCAATTCCACTCTGCAGAGGTCAGTTGCTCTCAGCCAGGACTGAGTTAGGGGGGAGGGACAGTCTCAAGCCACCTGTTCGGTGGCCTTCCCAGCCTCCAAGTGGCCAAGCACTTAGAGCGGCCAAGCACTTCGAGTGACCCAGTGGGCACTGAGCCCTCTCCCAGCTCTGCTGGTCTCTACCCTGCGCTCCTGGGTAGCCCACCTGCCCCCTATCTGCGGGGGGAGATGGGTGGAGAGGGAGAACCGGCCGGGCACTACAGGGGCCAGCTTGCTGGTTATTTCCTCCACTTCTGTGAGTTGGGCCTGCTATCCTGGGTGGTGGGTGGAGAACAGGGAGGCTCCCTTCCCCTTGGGAATAGGCCTCATGGGCAGTGGGCAGTATGTCCCACTATCTGTGAAGTGTGTGTGTATGTGCATGTCATGTTATTGTGTCTGCTGCCTTTGTGCCTGTTCATGGTGTTACTCCTCATGTCTGCGTGTCACTCTCTGTGTGAGTCTCATGTAAACATGCATGTCTGTGTTGTGCCCCTGGGCCTGTGTCTCCATCTTTCTGAGCACATGTATGCACATGCTTGTTCTCTGTGTCTCTGTGTATGTGTTCTCTGTGCCCCTGAAGTCTGTATCTGTATGTGTCTATGTCCTGGTGAGTGCACACGTGCTCATGTGGCCGCTGTCTGCACAGATATACACCCATGTCCCGTGAGAAGAGTACACGTGTATGCACATACTATGTGTGTGCCCGAATCTGCCTGAGATCTCAGGGGGAGGCAAGGTTGAGGGGGCAGCCCTGTTGGAAAGGGTCTACTCCTCAAGCCTGGGTGATGTGGCTACACACTGTCTGCCTGTGCTTCCTGCAGACTGCCACCTGCCTTGACTCCTGACTGCCTGCGCCCTCCTGTCTGACGGCCGGACCTCATTCCTGTGGCAAGCTTGGTAAGGCAGCTCCCACCTGGGGAGGGGGGACTGCTGGCTTGGGGAGCTCCTGGGCCAGCCAGATGCCGATAGACCTGCTGGGGGACCACATATTCCAGTGTCAGCGACTCCTCCACCCCAACAACCTGATACCACATCTATCTGCAGCCCCACCCCCCACCCAGTACCCCCTGACTTGGCAGCGGGACCGGCCCGTGATCTGGGTCTTGTTCCACTTGGCTGGATTTCCCCTCAGCCTAGCTACTTCTGCTCTTGTGTTAGGGGGTGCATCAGGGACATTAGGGTGGGCTGAACTGAGGGGGTCCATGTCTGAGTGGAGGGGAGGTGGGGGCTGCAGGCCTGTGTTATGTATGTGTGTCCCCCCCTGGCCTTGGGGGACAATTCTCTGCCAAGTCCACACTGGGGGCAGCAGCGGGCTGGTGGCCCTTGTTCAGCTGGACTGGGGCACCAGGCCTCATCAGGTGCCCAAGGGTCCATCCCTAGACCCTCCCCCCACCTCCACCTTCTGAGGCCTAGGTGCTGGTGGCCACGCCTCCCCCCCTTTCCTGTGGCTTTCCCCCTTCCTTTTCTCCCCCTTTGCCTCCCCTATCCACCCCCCTGCTGTCCAGCTCTCAGGGACCCCTCATTGGGCCTCAGTTTCCAAGACTCTCTCATGTAGTGGACATTCCCCTCCACACACTCTGATGGCCTTGGCTAACCCTAACCCCTGCTCAGTCCACGCCATGTGCCTGTCTTCCTCTACCTATTGGGGCAAGCTGTGGGGGCCTGGCCCGTGGACATATGTGTGTCTGTGTGCGTGCACCAGGGCATGTGGTACCTGTGCCTACTCCAGCTGTGTGCAGGGGTCACCTGGGACACTGGGAGAGGGCTGGGCATCTTGATGGAGGGCTTCCAGGGAAGACTCTGGAAATTAAGAATGCTAGAAACCCTTCTATGCCCTGACACCCACCCCCGCAGCTCCTTCCCTGGGCCCAAAGCCACCTTTTTAATTCTGTCCCATCAGCTATCTCCACGTACTGCTTCCAACTGGACTGGGTGCCCCACTAGGCCTGACCCTGGTACCCCCCTCTTCCCCCACACCCCATGCACGGAGCTGCAGGATTCAGGGCCCCAGCCCAGGTTGAGGAGGGCGCTGGTGGGGAGCACTTACCGCAGGGAGTGGCAGGGCTCCTTTGTCAGGTGCGGGGGCTTGAGGTGGACTCCGACCCTAGAGCTGCCCCCAATCGCCACCAGCCGGCGGCGGGGTCACCCTGTGTTTGCACGGTTTGAGGTCCCCCAGGTGCGGCCTTCGGGCAGGCCTGGAGACGTCCGTCATTGGTCCCAAGCCGGCACGGCTGGCCGGCCCTCAGCTCCGGCCCCGCCGGCAGCACCGCCTCCCAGCGGCCAGGGCTTGGGCATGCAGGGGCGGGCTCAGGGGTGGGGCGAGGGCGTCACCC